ACACTCTACCTAATCCAACTCCTTCATTTTATGGATGAGGAAATGAGCCAAGAGAGGTTAAAGTCACACAGGAAATAAATGGTAGAGTAGGGATTTGAACACAGTTCTTCTGAATTAAAGAAAACCCAGCATTCTTTCTACTTTATCACTCTGACTCTAGTCAACTGTCATAGCCAGGAAGGTTGGGGTTTTTTTGTGCCTCAAGGGAAGGAAGGAGCCTGTGGCCTGTGACAGGTCTTTGTCCATTATGGTCCTATATCGTCCATACTTGGAAGCATCAAAATAACAGCAACAAAATATTAAGCAGAAATCAGGAAACAGAACAAATTAGATGTTTTGTTAAAGCTTATTTTGTCTATTTCCTTTTTGTTGCTGAAATTACATTTATAATGAAACATTCTCAAGACAAGTTAACCAAAGGCAGTATTTTGAGAAAGTGTATATTGTAGTGTTGGCTTACAAAAGACAGTGTCTACCAAGCAGATCCAGGAGAGAACTGGAACAATGACAACATTCTGTAGATTCGACTCCTGAACCTTCACAACTGCATTCAGTTCCATCATCGGATCTCCCAGTAGTCATAGTTTATTGAAACAATGTCTTCAACCATCTACAGAGTTGTCATGGGGAAGATTTAAGCTTATTCTGTGTGGCTCCAGAAGGCAGAACTAAAATCAATGGGTGCAAGTTACAGGGAGGCAATTCAATATAAGGAAGAATTTCTAACAATCAGTTATCCAATAATGGAAATAGCTGCCTCAGAAAACAGAGGATCTCATCTACAAAACACACAGTAGAAGGGAATCCTGCACTCAGGAGAAGTTAGATTCAACTACAAGTACCCTAAGTCTTAGTTACACCCACGCTAAAGGAATCCCAGATCCTCGAAGTTATAATTAAGCAACCCCTTCCAGTAGGTCCCTCGACAACTTAGTCTTAGGGTTAGGCTCTTTCAGCTCCTAGTTCCTTCAAGACATATGGTCTGTTCCTGCTTGGGTCCTTTGGGCTAAAGTTCAAAACTGCTCCCTTGACTCAGTTTCAAGTCCTGTCTCTGCTTGCCTCATACTAACTGTGTGATCCTGGGCAAGTCACTTTGACTTCTTAGCAACACAGATAACTAAGACTTTAAGATATTCGTTGACCAAGGAATTTCCTACATTAGTGAAATCACAGGGGCAAATCTCCAACAATTTCACATTAACATGCTTATAGCTACCTGTTGTCCTTCAGGACTAAATCACTGAAGAGTTGGAGAAGAGACTCCATGGGACAAGGATGAAGTGTTTCAATAATTTTATAGAGATGAAACAATACCTTGGCCCTTCCCCTCCTCAATTTAACTTGCCTTTTTTCCCCTCCTACCTTCCAAAAAAGCTAATAGATCAAAGCCTAAAAATCCTTTTAAGGCTTTAGCCCTAAAAGAATATTTCTCAGACCAAGAAGCTAGGAAATTGCTTTGTTACAAAAGCTAAATTTGTATAATTACATTGTTTTTGTTTTTTTGCTTTTTGGCTAGGCAATGGGGTTAAGTGACTTGCCCAGGGTCACACAGCTAATGCTATATTTGTGAGGCCACATTTGAACTCAGGTCCTCCTGACTCCAAAGCTGGAGCTCTTTCCACTGTGCCACTTAGCTGCCCCATAATTACGTGTTTTCAAATAATGCAAAAGCTAACTTATTTTGTTCAAGAAGTAGAAAATATCAAGGAAGAATTTACCATATTAATCCTTTATTATGAAATATTATGCATGTACATTGCAACAATATGCACAGACATTGATCATTATGAAAAACTAACATAATATAATCTAATAAGTAGACAGAAATCAGAAGATGGGAAATTAGATGTTATTTCATCAAAGCTTTTTTATGGTTTTGTGTGATTTTTCCCCTCATTGTTGATAGTTGTTTATAATAAAAAATTTTTCAAACTGTTAAACCAAGGCAGTATTTTGAGCAACAATGTATAGTCAAAGTGTAGCACTGTCTTAGCAATGATCTCAGGCAGCAGAGAATTTGGAGCCAATACAAAAGTTGATACTTAAAGGACCTACTTTCAACAAGATACTCATATATCAACATTAGAATTTAAACTGGACTACAATGTAGAGAACATGGGGGGTGGGGTGGAAGGAAGCACATAAAAGTAGGACTTTTCTAATACGTGACTATGAACTGAAATTTTAAAAATTAGGAACACATCCATTGAAGTTGTTCCCTAAGGGAAATTATCTCGGGAGGCTGAGGCAACAAATAACTCATTTCATCCCATAAGCTTGAGGTCAAGCTTATTGAAAGGGCATTTGTTGCTCTCAAAGAACTCAATTCATCTGATTCCAAGTGATGCTGTTCCACCAAAAAATCCTGCAGTCACCTTTTGAGCAAACAAATGAGCCACACAAGAACGTATTCTGCTACTTTGTCTCATACCTTGCTTGTGACCTAAAATGTTATTACTCAACTTGATTACCCACCTTATTTGCCAGGCCTGGCTGAGTGACACTTGACTATTTCCAAAAGTCAAATCCACTCTGAGGATGAAGACTTGCCACCACTGAGAATGAGACAGACTCTGAAAACAATTCCAAAAAAAGTCCTTAATAGTGCATTACTGCAGTAAAGTATCCCAAGGAGATGAGTCCGAAGGAACACAAAACTCACTTGGATGTAAGGAGAACTAGACATGAAGTCAGGATTCCTGGAGGTTTGAGGATACCTGAGACAGATTCCTCACCTATAAAATGGGGATAATACTTGTACTACCTACCACCACCTCACAAGGCAGTGAGTTAAGTGCTCTATAAATCTAAGGCTGATGCTGATTTTAAAAAAGATTAGTCGTTTGCCTTATCAAACATACCTTTCAGAGGTTATTTTTTAAGTCTTTTTAATGTGATCAACTAAATTCTATTTGCAACTTTCCTTTCATACGGTACTTTTTAAAAGATCACATGCTTTTTATACCAAGAAATTCCTGTAGCTAGCATATTCAATGTCTATTTCATTTCACAAAAAGACAAGGTAAAAGTATTTGGATATTTCAACTCAGAATAGGGTCCTTCCACACATCGGTAGTCAGACTGTTTTGAAATTAATTCTGTAAATTACAAGATTTGCTTTCTGTTCTTATCTGTACTTCTAAGTAATCACTACCCTATCCTTTCTCCTCCTCCCCAGGAGATCTGAGATAAATAACCAATGAAAACTATCTGCACACTATTTATACATTACTGATACTTAAGGAAGCTGACCAAGTAACTCATTCTAAGAACACAAATTATAATTAGCAGTTAGTTAAAACCTCCACTGAATTTCTTCTCTGTCTCACTGTGGAATGGCAGTGATCTTGGGACTCTTTAATAACTGCTGTAGGCTGCAGATTCTCTCTCAAGAGGGAAAAGACTTTTAAGAGATAAAAGCCTACAAAGAGACTAAGGTATCTCTCCTGGGAGGATAAATAGGCTGGCTACAGCATAAAGACCATCTATACTAAGGTGCAGAAAGATGTGGTAATCTGCACCAATGGAGGGAGTATTCACACTAATGTAATCACATAGCTAAAGTACGGAAAAAATCTACATGTGGCTTTTTACAGTCACTTTGTGAAATAAAACCTCATTAATAATTAGATCTTAAATGCTAAAATCCATAGAGAATAACTTTGGCTACTAATTTCTAAGGTATAATAGAAAGAACAGTTACATTTTCATATACTCTAAAAAGGCAGCCAGACAGAAAGCCCACTGATTTGAGAGCCAAGAGATCAGGTAGTCTGTTCCTCGGTTATTTGCTGTGTGACTTTATTAAGTAAGTCACAACACCTGTTTCACTTTTTTCCTCTTCTAAAAAGTCCTATCTCAGAGAATTTTTATGAAGTTCAAACAATTGTTGTCATAAAAGTTTTTTGAAAGCAGTAAAGGCTTCCAGAAACGTAAGTTCTAGTTTCCATATTACTCTACAAACTAAGGTAGTTTCCCTTTAAAAGTGTAAAAAGCAGTTGCAAGGTGGTTGATCTTCCTCTCTTCCAACCTACAGTTACTGAATAATATGCCTTATACCTAAAGAAGGAAGATTCAGACAACCAGGGAAAAGATAAGAAAGGTAATCAAACCTTAGGGTAAGTATGTCAAATGCAGAAATTGAAGCTAGTCCAATAAATTAATATAGCTATTCAAAGAGCCAAAGAATATTTAGCAACTCAATAAAGTGAGTTGATAATGTGGCATGACAAGATTCCATTTAGTCACTACCATCAAATGCAATTGAAATTTAGTTCACAAGATATTAACACGCTCATTAGTGAAATCATTTAACTCAGTTCCTCCCACACATCCTCTTCTAAAACATATTTACAAGTAAAAATCAAAGTATCTAGTATTTGATTTGAAAAATATGCTTTGCCTATCCAGAGGAATAAGTTAATTATGGAAAATTACCAGGTGGATACAGTGACTGATCCTAAAAAACAAACAAAAAAACCCAACAACTTCTATTCCAAGGAATTAATTTTAGCTTGGGAAAAACCACAAAACTTCTTTTAAAAGGTAACATGGCTTAAAGCATTTAATATCTAAACAAATCAAGTGTTTTTATAGTAGCAGTCACAAATGTGCTTAATATACAAACCCCATTTTTTTCATTCTGAAAAAAGATGTAAATGGTATTTTACCTTGAACATAAATTTATCTAGTGAATTTGAATAGTTGAATATTATCTTACTGAATTAAGCAGCAATTTTAGTGTAAAATAATGTTAAATACTTCACACAGCTTCATATTTTAAAATGTTTACAACTTTTAAGAAAAATAGTCTGAAGCAACTATTTTTTCTTCATTCTTTAACAGGCATATTTAACATTGAGTTCTTTTTATACTTTTAAAAATCTCCAGTTTTCTTGGATTTTTAGACACCCACCTAAATACTGTGGTCCCCATTACTGTCACGTGGAGGGGTCTTTTTGTTTTTCTGCTTAAAAAAAAAGCGAAAGGAACACTCATAATACATTTTCACCAAATTTTTAATACAAAAAGTAGTAAGACTATACTGAACTGCATACCGTACCTACTGTACCATTAAAAAGAGAAGACATGGGTACACTCTTTAGCAAATTAAACAGCATTCTGGTGTGCTATGATGTTAAGGCATACCTTTAAATGCACACTGTCATTCATTCATAAATTATTTACAACTGCTGCTACTAGGTGAAGACAACTAGAACATAAGTTTTGCGAAAAACTAGGGGGGAAAGCAATACAAAATGTCTGAAAGCCGATATTTTAGTGTACAAAAGTAAACTTCAGTTCATGTGTTAAAACACCATATAAGCTTTATGCAGTGACCTTTTAAACATGCTATGGTAGCTCCTGAGGATGTTTTAAAGCTGGAGGTAAGTTTGTAGGTCTTGATTCTTCATCAAGAAGCACCAAATCTTCAATTTCAGTTCCTCTGTATTTTCTTTTACATATCTTAACCACCACTTTTTTCTTGAGAAATAACTTCAGAGCTTCTCTTGATGCTACTGCCTTGGCATTCTCCTTACTCTTTCCACAGCCAGTACCTAAATAAACAGACTTGCACCTCAATTCACAAACTATACTTTCTTGAGAACTCTTATTTTGAGGCAGATCTGCCAGTTCTTTTAGTGGAACAAAAGAAACATCCAATGTTGCTTTTAGAGCCTCCACAGATGCATTTAGGAGTTCTCCATGATTCACATTGGGACTAAAGCCACCAACAGCCACTAACTTCCATGCAACAGTTTTATACAATCTATTGAAAAAAGGTTGTTTCTGTTTTACATCTTCAGTGGTTAATTTGCAAGAAAACCTAACAGAACTCTCACTTGACTGTGAAGTGCTTTTAGAAGGTAACTGTGATGTGCTAGTCTGAGAGCTACTCTTAGAAGCCAGCTGGGATACACTCGCCAAGGAACTGCTTTTGGGAGCCAACATCGATCCACTTGGCTGGGAGCTGCTTTTGGAAGACAACAGTGATGCAGCTGCCTGGGAACTGCTTTTAGAAGCCAACAGTGTAGCAGCTACCTGGGAGCTGCTTTTAGAAGTCAGCAGTAAAGTGCTTGCTGAGGTGGTGCTTTTGGGAGTTAACATTTGCACACTAGATGAGGAATTGTTCTTAGAAACAGATGATGAAATGCTTGACTCCAAGCTAGTTTTGGAAGTTGATTGTGATGTGCTTACATCTGAAGTGGTTTTGGAACCTAATAGGGGCAGTAATTCTGACCCAGGTTTGGAGGACAACAGTGGCAACTCTACATCTGAGCTGCTTGGGGAACCCAACAATGGCACACTTGTCTCTGACCTGCTTTGAGAAGTCAACAAGGGCACTTCTGTCTCTGAACTGCTCTGAGAAGCCAAAGATGAAGTGCTCTCCAAAACACTCTTTTTAGGTGACACATTTTGTAGTTTGGAATCAGTCAGCTGGGTCCCAAGACTATTGGATTTTGCCACAGATGAAATTAGTGTTGTACTATGTTTGTCTGAAGTTTCTACCTCTGAAACCTTTTCAGGGCCTGCTGCTGCAACCTGAGAAGTGCTGGTGCTTTGCTTTGACCCAAGATTCTCAGCTGTCAGCTCACTGGTGGATTTATTCTGACACTTTACTCCTGCGACCTCTTGGGAAAGTGCACTCCCCCTCTCCAAGGTGCTACTAGAGCTCCGACTTATGTTCTCTCCACTTCCCACAGATCTAGTGGATGGCATGGGCCCCACCTTGACTTCCTGCTTTGCTGATGCCTGCTCTGTTTTGCCAGAAGTCTTGGAAGCATCCTGACCACCAGCAGAACTGCTCTTTCCTTCAACTGCCCGCTTTTTGCATGGCTCTTCTACCCCATCTAAAAATTTAAAAAAACAAAAAGAAGTATTTGACTACTTCCACTTGATTACTAACTAGTAAGCTAGACATTTAATGCAAGAAAGATGCTCAATAAAACAAAAGCAAAAAACTTGGTATGTATAATGCCAAGGACAAAATCACTATGTAATCATGACACAAGTTTCTTAAAATGAAACATATTTGACAGTTTTAAAACAGTCAAAGAAATTTAAAATTAAGAACCAAAAAACATATAGAAAAAAGTTTGGGACTAGTGTCCTTTAAAAAAAACAACACATTAAATAGTTTGGCTATGTCAGAAATATAAGTTAATATGAAACATGAGTTCACAGCACTAAAATAAACTTATGTTCTATGCTCCTATATATGTTCACATCTATGATCTGCTAACCATTGCTACTCGATATCCCTCTTTTCTTCACCTTGGCAACCAGTTCATCTCTTGTTGTATGGATTGGAGCATCTGTCACTTTGATGCCTTCAGCCATACTAAGTATTTTATCCATAACTTTTGGTGGATACCTAAAAAAAGAAAAACAAGTTGACTGTTCTCCGCAAGTCTTTCACATCACATATAAACAAGTCACAAGAACGAGGCTTCCGATTCGCCACCGAGATACAGCAAGGATTCTCGGCTTCCTAAATAACCGTAAATAAACGTGCTCACTGAGGGATGGATTCCGCCTTCTCTCCTCCCCCCCGCTAGGCCTGCAAGCCATTCATCTGATCCAGACTAACGACTCCTACCAGCTGACCGAGAAAGAACACGGCTGACGTCCACACCACAAACCGGAGGGGGGGGAGCCGAGAGGAGGGAGGGCAAGGGCCCACAGCCGCGTCCTCCCCGGCCAGGCCAGCTCCCTCATTGCTCGCGTTTCACCCACAGGCCTCGGGCCCCGGCCGCGGGCTGTCAGGCGGACAAGGCCCAGGCCCGGGCGCGGATCACTCACCGGCACCCCAAGAAAATATGGTTGGCCCAGGCCATGGAGGAGGAGACAAGCTGCTGCAGCTGGCGACGGCGGTCCCCGCACTCCACCGAGGCGGCCTCGGTGGTGGCGGTCGGAGCCAGGTCTCCGGCATTGCGAAGCAGAAACTCGCGGCGGTGGCGCCAGTGCTTGTCCGTCTCGCCGTCGCTGCGCAACGTCTCCACCCAGGCGGCCACCCGTGGATTCTGGCTTAAGTACTCGGACACCTCGGAGATGGCCGCCCGCGCCATGCTCGACCCGCTCGTGTCGTCCGTCGCTAGGGCCGGCAGGGGACGAGGAAGAGGACGGAGGAGGCCCTGTCACCGAGGACTCGGGTAGCTCCCGCGACCCAGAAGACAGCCGACCAACTAAAGGCCAGCAGCAGAGCCGAAACGCCCACTTCCGTCCGCCGCCAGGCACCTCCTCTCCTTTTATAACCTCGCCAGGACTCGCGCGTCGTCCCTTCCTTCCGGCGCGAGCCCCCGCTATAGCGGGCGGCTCTGCCGCGGTCCTCGTCTCGGGTTGGCGGAGGCCGAGACGGAAGGCGGGGCCTAAGGGACAGCCAGCCCGTGGCGGGCAGCTTGGCACGCAGAACCCGCCCCTCGGGGCGTCCTGAAAGCCGTCTGACAGACCAATGGGCGCGTAGGGCCGCCCCACCTCCCGCTTTTGTGACGCGCCGGCGCAGAGAGGGGCGTTCCGCTCCCGGCCTCTGGTTTCGCTGCTAGGCTCCTCCCCCACTGCGGCAGCTCCGGCGGCTGGGTGTGGGCGGGGTTGGTCTGCGGCTACTGCCGTCTCCGAGGAAGGCGGCAGCGAGGAACGCGGAAGGGGAGGTACAGGCGTCGACCACGGCGGCCAGGGTGCTGGGGGTGAGGGCGATTCCCCAGCGGCCTCGGCCCAACATGACCTGGGGAACGCGGCGCTGCCGCGACCGTCGCCACCGTCGTCAAGGGGCGGAACTCCGGCTCCCGCCGCCGCCGCTCCCGCCCCGTCCCGCCCCTGCGGCCGGGTGACGAGCGCGCCCCCTGCTGTTACGGGCCGCCAAGGGACGAGACCCGGATGGAGCCGGGGCCTCCGCGGCCCCCGCCCCCGCGACGCTCGCTGCTGGGGAGGGGGGGCCGGAAGTGGACGCTTCTCGGGAGATGGGGAAGAGATGCAGCCTCCGGGCCCGACGCGCCGCGCCCCTGGGGACTGGAGACAGACCCCCGACATGTCCATTAAAACCAGAGGCCTTTAATCCAGCTGGAAGCACCCGGGGTGTCTTTGCTTGGGATCTCGCACCTAGGTAGCGCTTCGAAGCTGGCAAAGCGCTTTCCAGCTCGTTTGAGCCTCCTTAGAACCCTGGGCGTGAGCCGGGTGCTGTTCTCATTCCGATTTTACGGAGGAAGACACTGAGGCAGATTTAGAAGGGACCTGCCCGGGGAGAGTCACGCGGCCTTAGCTAGCGCTCCCTCTGTAGTGACCCCTGGCCCGGGTTCCCCAAGCTCTAAGTGGCTGATGAAGGGAAAAGAAGTTTCGGGGTTTGCTGCGGTCAACTCCGGCCCTTGGAGGGGGTGAAAGTTGAATTTATCCTGGCCAGTCCGCGGGGCAGAGGCACACACGTAATCCGACCTTGGACCTGTACTTTCAGGGCTTTTCCAGCAGTGCTCCGTGGCTTTCTGAAACCCGGGGTCCCATTCATGCCCAAGACGAGGGAGTCAGAGTAGGACTTAAGTGAGCTCAACTCAGTTTAATGCCCAGTGAGCTGTCTGTAAAGCGTTTGATACAGTGCCTGGCACGTAGGTGCTTAATAAGTGCTTATTCTCATCCTCTTCTATCCCAATGAAAAGCAGAGATACGCATATTAGAGGTGGAAGGGGAAATCAAGGCCAACACTTTCCTTTTATAGAGAGACAGTACAGTGAGATGAAATAAGAACAGAACTTTAACGCAGGAGAGACCTAGGTTTAAATTCAGCCTCTTCCACTTCCTGACCTTTGGCAAAGCACATAACTTTTCTGAACCTGTTAGTAAAGTGGGAGTTATAATGCGCCTAGCACCTACAAATTTTATACAAATCTTTGTTACTATGGAGAAGGAAACGAAGGAAAAGAAGTTAAGTGATTCATATGGTAGTCCTATTAAATGTAATGCCCAAAGTCAGTCTTCCTCCACATTCATTTCCTGGGTCGTGGAGTCCCAAGCCTGGCTTAATAGTGGTGTATTTGGCAGGGCCAGAGAAAGACACCACCCACTCAGTCTTAGTTGACCGATTAACTAGCATCGTGTTTGAAAGCATTCTTTCTGCTGCTATGCTGAATGAGGAAATACAAAATGTATGCTAAAACCACATTCCATCACTCCTTACCTCACTTACCTTTAATAGACTGTCTCTGACTGCCAATCCCATAATAAAAGTCATAGCTTTGTGACCTGCTATTTGTTAAGGTTCAGGTTCTAGGTGTGTATGTGGTGTAGAAAGACTTTGCAAAATAGTCCCAACAGATATTTTATGCACACAGCAAAAGTATTAAAGCTTGTATAATTTTGCAAAAATGAAATACCTACTTCTGAATCACAGAGCATGCAGTACACAATTTTTAACAGACCTCTGATTTAATCAGTGTAGGGAACTCCCAGTGAGAAGCTTAGCCTAAAAAAATAAATGCAGATGATTGATAAGGCTGTGTGGGCGTAGGCACCGCTTAAAACAGCATTTTGTATTCTAAAGGAAACTAAAAAAGTTTTGTTGAAGCACCATGGGATTTTGGGGGGATATTTTTTGTTTTGTCCTCATTCAGCTGTTGAAAGTCAGGAGTGAAAGGATTAGGGAAAAAAAAAACACCTGACTGTATTTAGGCTCCAGGTTGAAGGATTTTTGATGAAAAGCCTTGTTGTACCTTTGAGAAAATTAAGTTCAGGTTCTCAGGTGGCAAACTGAACTTATTTCTAGCTGTGACTTCTTCCTGAAAACTTTGTGTGAGAGTTCTTATGTAGCAGTGTGAGGGTAAGCATCACTCATAATCATAGTTAAGATTGATAAAGTGTTGGGGATAAGGTCACTTTTTGTATTGCTATATAAATATGTGGAACACAGAGGTCTATGTGACAAGTACTTCAGTTAACCTCATCGGTTTGAAAAACAGTTTGGAAGGAAAACAGCAGTTTCAATAAATGCCTGTTGACTGACCAGTTTACTTAAGTATAAACCTGGTTAAACTATAGGTTACCCAGTCAAAACAATTTAATGTGGGTACTACAAAGGGATGAATAACTAGTGAAAAAATCATCCTTGAGTGCTGTGTTGTTCAGGAGCTGAGTAGAAGTGATCAGAGATACCTCTCAAAATTTCAGTCTGCTTATTGTGAAATTAAGTGGGCCTAGGTACTCCTTCCTAAAAGTACTTTGTAACCATACTCTCATTATACATCTTTCATTGATCTCACCCGCTCCCATGATTTCAAGTATCATCTTTATGCCAATGACTCCTAGATCTATATATGCAACCCTGATCTCAAGAGTTCCAATCACCCCGAATGTCTCCAGCTGAATGTCCTAATTGTCAGTTCAAACTCATTCTCTTCTACCCTCCCACCTCAAAATCCAAGGGCACTGCTATCCACTCAGGCAAGTTCCCACTTTTTCCTGGAAAAGTAAGAATTTGAAAGTTGGAAGGGCCCCTCAGTAGACATCTAGTGGAATACACAGCTGACAATACTGTCTCCTACAACTTAACAAATAGTTATTCAGCCTTTACTTGAAAGCCTGAGATGAAAAGGAGCACACTATCTCCTGAGGCAGACCAATTTTTTGGTAACAAATTATTAGGAACTTTTGTTTAACATCAAGCCTAAATTCTCCTCTTTCAGATTCTACTCTGCTCATAGTTCTGTCAAATTGAATTCCGTGATAGCCCTTCAAATACTCATAGTTAGCTATCACACCCCCTTGAAGTGTTCCCAAACCTAAATGTAACATCCTCATACAGCAAAGACTTCACCTTAATTATTCTGGTTGCCCACTGCAGGTGTTCCTTAGATTATTTGTCCTACCTAAACTATGGTTCTGAAAATTTAACAAAATACACAGAGGTGGTTTTATCAAGGCAGGGAGTGTGGGACTATTTCCTCCTTATTCCTAGATGCTGTGACTCTGAATTGAGCCCAAAACTTCATTAGCTTTTTGAGCTGCTATAACACTTAAGACTAATAGGTTTTAGGCCACTAACCAACCCTAGGTGTTGTTCAGGTAAACTGCTGTCTATGCTTCCCCCATTTTATTACTTGTGAAGTCATTTTTTTTTAATCCAGGTGTCAAGTGTTAAAATTTATTACTATTAAATTTCATCTTAGCTTCATCCTGATGTTTTAGCCTGTCAGGATCTTTTTGGATCCTGACTGTAATACATTATTGGGACGAATTCTTCCCAATTTTGTGTCATTTGGAAATTTGCTAGGAATGTTAGCGTGATTTTATTTAAGTCCCTTATAAAAATGTTAAGTAGCACAAGGCCTCGGGCATTTCACTTGCCTCCTAAAGTAAATCATTGGTTACTACTCCTTGAGTATGGTCATTCAACTAGTTCTGAATCTAATTGTATTATCATCTATAATACATCCATCTTTTGCACGAGAATTGCTTGAGAGACTTTGTCAAATAACCTTTCTAAAATCTAAGTAAATGATGCCTACAGCTCTCTGCTGATATACCTGTGTAGTTACAATGTCAAAAAAGGAAGTAAGATTAGACTGGCATGACCTGTTGTTGCTAAAGCCATACTAGCTAGCTCTTTGTGGTCACTGCTTCCTTTTCTAAATGTTAAGTCTCTCAAATTTTCCTAGGAATTTCACTGCCTTTAATTTTCAGATTCTTATTCTCTTCCATTTTTGAAAGCTGGAACATAAGCATTTCTCTAATCAATTGTAGATTGCTTCTCGTTTTCATGGTGTCTCAAGTATGACTGACAATAAATAGCTCAGTAGTCATATCTACTAGCACTCTCAGTACTTGAAAAGATATATAGTTTATTTGGGCTGGTAATGAATTCATCAATGATGATTAGGTTTTTTGTCAGCTGAGTTAATTAACTCCGTATTGCCCATTTTTCTTCTACCCTTTATGGTCCAAAGTCTCTTCTTGGTAGAGAAGGAAGTAAAATGATAATTAAGCAGTTTTGTGTAATCTGTTTTCAGTTATCCTGTTCACACAGTGGTATGCTGGTAAATGTTTAACATTTACTGGCAAAAAAAAAAAAAAGTACCCACAATACACTTAAGTTTAATGTGCATTATTAACATTTTCTCCATGCTTAAAGTTAGACAATCAACAAAACAATGAATCAAGTCCTAATTTGTC